AAACCTGCAGCTCGAAAGATTTAGGGGTTAAAATGACTTCTGTGTAAATTTTTGATTACTGTGGTGCGTACGAACCTTTGCACTACAATGGTATACGTTACGAACACCACCCAATAACAGGGCACATCACTGTTGGGGAATCCCCAACGGGAGGGTCGTATTTGGCCGCCAGGAGAGGGGGGGTCGTATTTGGGCTGAGAAAAATTTATTTTGATAGTTGATTTTTCTCGCTTCACGGACGTTGTAAAGGGGGGGGGTCGTACTTGCTCATTGTTGGGGGGGAGGTCGTATTTACTTTCTGGCCTTTCTAGGAGAGGTGAGAGTGGAGTGGTGATTGACTTTTCGTGATTTTCCTGTTTCATATACCCTCCCCCACCCGCTCGACGACTCGATTCGATGAGGAGTGACAGAGGGCCGGAGGGGGGGGGTCGTACTGACTCGACTAAAATCCTCAACCAATTACGTGCCCTGCCCAATAATGGGTGTACTGTCAGAATAGAACGTATTACACAGCAGATTTGCTGTTCTGCAGCTCGTAACCGTGCTGTAATTTGTAAACCAGCTGTTCAAGTCATTTTCCATGGCTGTTGTGATTTTGCATGTCGAATGTTGCCATCTGCCTTTTGAAATTCATCTCCGTTCGTTTCAGAGGGCAATTTTGACACATAATGTTTTCGCAGCTGCCATGAGGTCATTCGTCTCGTCGTCGTCGTCCTGCTCATTGTTCTCCACAGATTGTCCTCAACGTAATCGGAGAAACTGAATACTCCCCTCCCACTAATTAGGTCCTTAGGTCCTCCCACATCTGTTGTGTGTCGAGGCAATTTATGGATCGGTCGTTCATCGATCCATCCGCCCCCCATGTTGTCTATTCATCTAGGCTGCGACCACACAGCCGGTACCACGTGTCCCTCGCATGACTCACAAAACCTTAAGGAAATGAAAAACGTTCGGCGAATGCCAAGTGTTTGCTTCATTTTCTCCGAACGATTTTCATTTCGGTTCCTATGCGATTTGTTGGTTTCCCTTTCATTTCCATGGAAATGCATTTTTTCCCCTCGGAAAGGGTCTAGGCTTTGTACGTTTCCGCTCCTCAAAGAATTTTCTAACGCTGTCTCTTTGTCTTCTGGTTCGAAGCGGCTGCGTACTTCTTTTGAAAAAGAAGTAACAAAGCAATCGATTCCACAAAAACTTCTAAACTAAGCGGCTCGGCAATACTGATCTCGTATGTGGGTGTACTTTCAAGACATTCGAGGTGGGTCATCGCCCGCAAGTCAGTTAGTTTTCCTAACTAGTTGTCTCCAACAGATTATTTTGTCGTTAAATCTGTGAGATCATGACAAACCACGTCCTATATCGTTTACTTCACGGCGTCGTTTCCAAACGGCAATCAATAGGTTGCTTTCGTCCCTTTTGAGTTTCGAGGATCACTGAACGGAACTAGCCAGTGTGTAATGAGCACTAGAGTTATTTGTGGGGAAGGGGGCACTGATCCGTGCTTCTGTATTGCTTCTTCAAGGCCTAGGTTTAGAGCGCAGACGACCAGAGTAATCGACAGATTGTCTCGCACAAACTCTTCAGTGAGCCTAAGCCTTGATTAGAGAAAAATATACGGAGGCGCTGGAGAGTGCTCCCTCCCACCCTCTCCCCCAACTAAATGAGCACCCGGATCTTGAACAGTGACGTAACCCGGCAGCTAACCCCTCAAAAGTGCAAAGAAGACGCAGTCGTTTGTCCCCGTTTCATTTTTTTTAGGTGAGCCGTGGAGTATAACATCCCGCGGCTGCCATGATACCACTGATTTGATCGAACGTGCTGTACGACGCCACCTACTAATGTTGATTTTAGCGGTCTTGAGATTTCTTCTGAACTATTACCGCTTGAAACTGGCTGATATCTCCTAGCAACCTTAATATGATCTAATGAGCAATCCCAGCCTACTCCTGCCGCTTTCCATTGACACTCTATACAGCATGTCGTTGTCCTGTTGAGAACAAGCGGCGATTTTTCGCTTCATTGCCCAGCTGGTCACTGACGCGTTCAACCGCCACTCTCATTCGTTTTCCCTGCTTGTATTGTGCCCCCCAGTCTTTCGTCTCATTTCCCTCTATGCACTGAAGGCGTTCTGATTTGATAAGAGCCCAGCTTCTATTGAATCGCTTACTATCATTCTGTTTTCCTTTGCTACCCTCAGATTTGAATTAGTCCTGGCTCTAGTTTTAATAAGACCGAGGTCGAAAGAAGTTGGTTCCTTACCCAACTGGACTGCGAATTCTCTCCTTTCCCAACTAAGATCCTACTCCATATTCCGCCAAAAAAGACCCTTGCCTTTGTCCCGTTTCTTTCCATCGCCTATGCCACCTTTGTTGAAAACATGCCCCACCATCCCCAGTGATTGGGCCAAACTTTCGACCGCTTAAACATAGCGCGTAAGGGTTTGACTCCGGTTGGTTCCCCATTGGCGCCTGCCGCTTGTAGGAAGAATATGTCCAAAGAATCTCTCCAGCGGATATGTTTGAGATACCTATATGTACTTCACATGCGACTTTGCCACTAAACAGGAACCACGGTGGCTTGTACGGCCCCCGCTGCTTATGCTCAAGAACCCCGTGACTAAGCAAATTGGCAGCTTCTCAGCCTTAGTAGCAGATCTTCTCCACATTGAATGTTTCTCTATTGATAGCCACTGTAATCGACCCACTAAGCTGCTGATTTGTGTGCCTGTGAACAATTGGTTCTCGTTATTCACAAAGCTAGGAGGTGGCCGTCCCACAAAAAGCCCCGTATGTATCAACCCTGCTCCCCCCGCTCAGTTGTGGTGCCAAAATGAGATCGTGCATTCATCGTACACAATACTTTATTGATTCATCTCCTTCCCCTGACGTGGGCAAAATCGCATCCCTTTGCTACAGCACTAAAACGTCCCACCTTCATGGAATAGCACCGAACAATTTATTAATTATTCCCCAATCCCTGTCTGTTATTCCTGTGTCCTGTTTCGAGTCTGTTTTAAAATTTCTTCAAAATTTTGTGTACTTGTTCTGCAATTCTTGAGTGCGAAACGACATCACCTTGCTTACTCGTCTTTTCTCTCATCCGCCTTGTCAAATTAAACCCCCCTTTTTCTTTTATTTTTCTCGTCGAGCGACTTCCGCTCTCCTCGCCATTATACTTATCATTAGTTTTCTTACGTTTTTCATTTTAGCCCACAATGCCAATCAAATGCCAAAACCGCAATCCTCAAACCATCGTCACACTCGTGTCGATGCCGCCTCTGCGGATAGTTAATGCTGATAAGTACCGTTGTTTGGCATGTAGAGCTATACATGTTGTATGAGGCGTGTGTTCATACTCATTTCTTACCTTATTCCGCGCCGCAGTCCCATTTGAGGCCAGAAAACTGCCCCGCGATGCTAACTTTGATGGTCTTATAAGTGTCGGCTGCCGAGGAAGTCGTACCATTTTTCATAGGCTGAAGGATTTTCGTAACCACAGTTGATAGAAGTAGCCTCTTGGCGTGAGCCGAACACATTCTTCAAATCGGGAGAATGCGGTTGTACATTGAACTTTGGAACGGAATTATGGTTTCACCCTGCATGGTTGCCAAGCGAGGGGGCCTTTCGTTCGCTCCTCTGTATCCCTTCGATAGTTCCGCAGAGAAGACATAGTCTCCACCAAGCCTTTAGCAGAAGGGATACCAATTACATGGCCGTTAGCGCCCCAAATCGCTGTGCCCCCTCCTGCCAGCAGCCATGGAGAGCGACGTGGCCTTGAGACACGTAACCGAACTTGCGCTACGAACGAGTTGCAGCTAACGCCTCTTTTTCCTCCTAGACTCAACCGCAATCATTGCTTAGTGTGCGCATTTCGTGCGAAATCTAAGAAAATCTCCTATCTAGATCGTTCCGTAGCAGGCCCGCCATGTTGAGCCTTTGTAGAATACCGTATTAGTGTGGTTTATATCATCGAGGGCAGTTTTTACATTCATGAGGGCATGAATACGGATAGCCTGTTTTGATAGACCTCCAGCTGTGAATTGCCCTTCTTGTTGAAATAATCTGCCTGAATATGACTAGAATATGCATTTTTCGGCGGATATGGAAGCACCACTGACCTTCCAGGCAACAAAACATTAAGCTAAGTCAGTTCTTAAAAGAAAAAAGATTTCAAAAAGAAGAGGAGAAGAAAAGAAAGAACGTAAAAAAATGTTTCATATCTGCCGGTGGTTTAAACCAGTGATATCCCCGTCACAGATTTTACAAGCAAATTGAGTGTTTGTAATTGCAGGCAACACAATTCATTGGCTATGGACAACTGCTGGTAATCGGATTATTCACCGCTGCATTGCTTTTCTTTTATGGAAAACATCTCAACGTAAGTCTTTTTTTGGTAGAATTCTCTGTCTTCACTCCGAAGCCAGTTAAGGTACAGGAATGGGCTCTAGATTGCGCTTAGGTCGCGTTTTACTTTGCGACTCGACAGAATAGGAGATTAAGAAAACTGAAGCACCACAGAAAGTATATGTATCGATCAATTAGACCTCTTAGGCAGCGTTCAGACTTCGCGACTTCGGTCGCGCGTTCGACGCGATCAATGCAGTCGAAAGCATGCGCATCGATCGCGTCGAACATGCGACCGAAGCTCTGCCGTCGTGAAGTCTGAACGCTGCCTTCCTGAATTAGGAAAATAGGAGAATAGATCGATTTTCACTTTGACGCGTATTCTCACAATTTGCATAGTATGAACGCAGAAAAAATTGTAGAATACAGTGGTTTCGCTTGTAGGGTGGACTTCCTGATGATCATTGGCTGGCATCGGCTGGCGGTCGCTATATCACTTCTCTTCTGACGGCTGTTTCTCTTCAGCTATCTCTGGTGAGTTTGATTTGAATTTGAATGAATGGGATAAATCCGCTCTGTTGCCATTGGAGGCCTTAAAAGTGCAAGATGTATTGACAGAACTGATTTTCTTTGCTAGTAAAGGTAATGTTTCAGGTTTTGATGATGCTTCATGGAGTTCGCTCTCAGAGACGATCCTTTTTACTGCCGTTCATCATCTTCGCATCGTTCGCCGTATTCCTTGCCTTCATCCAGGTTGGTCTTTAAGTGGATTTCTTAGTAATCTCGTTCTCCGCGGCACAGTTCCTTCTAGCGGAGCAGTTTGCTCGTTTCCATGCCTCAAAAACTGGAAATGATTAGCAGTTCCTAGTGCATTATTAACAGTACTTCAGTGACTTAACAGTACAAAGTGGAGCAATCCTTCCCCCCCCCCCTTTTTTTCCCTAACGCTGCTCGTTCAGTTGCGAATAACTGGTTTTTTCCATGAGCTTAACTGTTTGGAATGCCTAAATTTTCTTATTTAAGGTGTCATCTGATTTGGTCGCGGCTTCCCAGGCACGTATTGGTTCCTCATCTGGACCCCAACTTCTCAGCCATGTCATCGGAATGTGTGTTCATGTGTGGTGTGTTGCTGTTGTATGGCGCTGCTATTGCTATTTGGGAGACAAGAAGGTGAACTGTTGAATTTAATGGGCATGTGGCGATTCTATCGTGAAGCGCCATGGTGCGCGTGGCCTGCGACGCCACAATCTTTCCGTAAGAGTTGTATTGTTAAAATGTCATATCGCCGTGCGCGGTGTGAACGGTTCGCTAACTCACGGTAGAATCGCCCGACTCCCGAATTTGATTACCCGAGTCGCTTAACTCACATTCATGATTTCAGGTTGCTGAGCAAATTGGTGAACAACTCCAGGCTACTTCATTGGCATTCGCTTACGAATACACTCAACCACCACCATATGCCGATACCATAGAAAAAAGTCCACTTACAATTGCATGAATCACGAGTGTTTCCCTACGTCTGCATCACTACTGATCGATATACATGTTTTTGTGTCCCTTATTATTTCTTTAGAAATCCCCCTTTGACGGGACCAATATACCTGATTGCTCTTACAATTGTCGCTGGTTTTCCTTCCAATTACGACCTATATATAGTCATACATTGAACATCGTTGTCGTGTCTCTCTCGTTCTTATATTCACCGTTTTTTTTTCATTGTTCTTCTCCCTTATTCTCCTTTTCGAAGAAATCTTCCCGGGTTTCTTAATATTGTAGATTATTTGAGGGTTGATAATGAATGTTGGGAGTGAATGATGAACCGAAACTGATCGATTTTTTCGGTTCTTTTAATGTTTCTTGAAACGAATCTCTAATCTTCACAAAATCTAGTGTGTTTTGTCTCGAACACTCTGGTAGTGATATTGAAGAATAAGAGTGTACAAATTTAATTATACAAATGTAATAAACTCTGCTATAGCAATAGTGCTGTCGAAACTCTTAACGATATATGTTAGTGTGCAATGATGGTCATCGGGTAAGGGTACAGTGGAAATGGTGGGGGGGGGGTACAGAGAAAACGCCCGGCCAAATAGACGTCGAATACCTATACAAGAATCGTCTTGAAGACCAAATATCACAACGAAAGGGTGAAACTAGAATAGCTACCAAACAGATGAACATACTAAACAACTACTCATGAACTGGGGTCTAATTCAGGACACCTGAAGCGCAGCATCGCACAAAATCCAGCTCTCCTTGTTGGCCCGATATGGCACTCTGGCGTCAAATCAACCAAGCCTACAAACATAGATAGACGGGCAAGACAATTGTAGTTTGCCGCGTTGCGTCGCGCGCGGCGTATCGTGTGCGGTGCGCGAGTAATTCTCGTTGCGGTACCTTCCACGCCATGCTCAGCAGGGCGGCCTACTACGACTGCCTTATCATATGCCCAGCTTTCCGATCCCTTTGTACTGATGTGCAAACGACCAAAACTCATCCTTCGGGCGCGGCGTCGCGCCACGCCCACCGGGACGGCATGCTACGGTTGTCTTGACACATGTCCCGGGTGGAGAGCCTAATTAGCGCCGCTCTAACTTTCTGGCCTAACCCCGGAGCTCAATTTCGGTAACTAAAACGCTTACGATATGCCCAATGGTGTGCACTCATTGGAACAACACATTCAGTTTCACGCGCAATATCCGGGGATACTGTTGCTATACGTTTGTTTTTCTATATTTATAATCTTGAATCAGGTTATGGTAGCCTGCACCCTATAGCGTCTATTTGACGACCGTCGCTTTTCGAGATAAGGTCGTCAAACGAGCGATGTTGGACGTAGGCTGCTACGACACCAGTGATTTTACGCCAAGGTGCCGCATCGAGTCAACTAACAAGAAATACTAGTTTGTGCAATGTCACGCCTCGGAAGTCCTGAACTAGATCCTACGATCTGATAACGATCGTATCATCTTCCGTACAATACAGATTTGGAATGAGACAGGAGGCGAACAAAAAAAAATAGAGGAAACAAAGCTCAATCCCGTTGAAAAGCTTCCACCTTAGGAAAAGTGTACTAACACGATGCAGGGGAAAAATATTGAGAATTCAGGGAAGACTCGATAGGTGGTCGGTTTTACTTGGCAAACCAACGACAAAACAACGATTACCCACAAATAATGTACATTAAATAATCTGGATATAAATATTTTGTGCGAATTTAGTGCCTGTAACTGAACTACTACTAGAAGTTGTACCATTTCTTCTTTTCCAATTTCTCAACCAGTTTCCCGGTCCGTTGAGAGAGGTTCATCGCGTTGTTGCGAAGATTCTCCGTGGCGTCTACAGTTGCGCTCAACTTCTCCCCTCGTTCAGAAAGGTTCTAGAAAGAGGAATTTCATCATCAATGTTCAAGGAGTAAATAGAAAAAAAGTTACTGCAGCTGTCTTACCTGTAATGCCATCATAGCAGCTTGCCCAGCGGATACACCACCAGCCTGAGTCCGCTCCATGTTCGCTGAAGGTCCTGGAATTGTTCTCCCTACTGCGCGTGTTGCTCCTCCTCCAACACCACCACTCGCTTTCTCGCGATCTGCCACTAAAAATGCAATAAATCAAAATGAGAAGGAAGTAACGGATCAAATGGAATCATGTCGGGGAAAATCTACCCATTTTTTCTGATTTCTTCTCATCAACGCAGTACTTATGCCACATTACCTTTCCAGCGCACCTAACACAGGCTTATCTAGAGACCAAAAAGGCGTTTCACCACTGCTAGCGCAACGACAGCTTCAACAGTCCAGACGAAAAAAGTAGTCATACATGCAAGAGACCGTAAGGGGTATGACAGAGCGTTGAGATAAAGATTAACAGCTTGCTTTAAAACGGCAACTGTTCAACATACTCCAGCTGCACCTCCAAAACGAACGTGGATACGCTTCCCTACTGCCCTCAGAATGTAGTGTAGTTACATCTACCAATAATGATTATACTCAGCTTAAAGGCTAGCGCCCACGTTATTCGTGTTCTTACACGCCTCTCTGAACTAGTAGCTCCCCTTATGACGGATGGTGACGTGCATGTTTCATGTGGAAGGTGAGAAGGAGTGATAATCGAAAACACTGTATGAACAAGTGGAAACTCGTGCAATCACTCCTTCTCTTCGCCTTAAAGGCAGCGTCCGCGATCAACCAAAGTGAAAAAACCCTCCATTGAAAACGAACGCGGAGTCCGCAATCACAGCAGAAATCCCACTCTTGCGGCTCGAAATCGATTGGTTGACGAGGGCGTCAACAAGCTGAGCTGACTCCTCCCTGTTAATCCGACTGGTAACAGTATCAGTGCTGTGCATTTGATAAGCCTAAGTTTCTAGTCCAGGGGGCGAGTGTATGGGAAACTACAAGTGTCGAAATCGTTCAAATCCTAAAGTGCGTTAGGGTCTTATTTCACGCTCTTCCACACCTTTTCCTACTTTTTTTTGATTAGTGCTTCATTGGCCACCTGCTCTAACAAATTTGACCCCTGAGACCTGCCAAAGTCCATCGCGGGCTGTCTTTAAGCAATTACAAAACCGTTGTCGCTATTAAAACTCCTGCTAGTGATTTGCGTGTTTTCTCTTGATTTTTCTTTACTATAGGTCTTCTGTACCTCCCTGGTTACTACCCTGAGCGCATACTCATTAATTTGAACGACGAGGCGTCCTTTAACACTGTTGAACTAGGTCCAGTCGTTCCGTTGAGAATAGAACGGCGAATTATTAGAGAATACAGCAAATAAACAGAATATATGCAGCCTACTAACACCCTCGTTAACAGGATGTCGCTTACTTCTCGCCAGTAGTGTCCGCCGAAGGTTGTATTTGGTCACGGTGTGAGAGGAGGAGGAGGCGATCGTTCCTCGTGAAAAATTTGTTTGTTGTTGCTTTTTTTTCAACTCATGTGCGTTAATATACTCATGTACCCTTTCCTTCCGCTCTGAGATCGAAGTATTCTGGGGCACTCTGGGGAACACTGAAGTGCTAAATACGAAAAAAAAACCGGAAACGTGAGAAGTTGGGAAAATTAGCGATGATGTAGAGTTGGGATGGGGAATAGTAGTCGTACCATAGGGGCGAGTTTGGAGGAGAGTCGTGCCTTGAGAAAAGTTTTCTCCAATGGCAGGACGTGCCATGTCGGTAGCGATTTCATGGGCACTTTGCTGGCTGCTTGCCCAATCCTTCACTGACGTGATATGGGGGGTAAAGTGAAAGGTTAGATCCATGGCAATGGTTCAAGTCCTGCCACTGGCAATAGTAAAACAACTAGGCAAAAAACCTATTTTTGCAGCTATCACTAAGAACTATTAACAGCCGCCGATGGCCATTTCATTTCACATAAATAATGTGAATTTGAACTTTGCCTTATAGGGAGAATCACTCTTATCTAGTAATCCGCGCTTAGTAAATAGTGCTCTGAAACTTACGTATCGCATCGACATCACACGTATCCTGTCGCGGTGTGCCACTGAACATATTTGAGACGCCCTGAAATACCAGGAATCAGACAACGCAGCCCAAATTAGTCTAAAAATTACCCGTAGCACCAGAGCTTGGCTATTTTGATATAGAGTGACGCATCACTGGATTGGAAAACTAGATTGTACACCGATATGATGAAAACGCGCGTGAAAAACCAATCAAAACAACAGAGGCAAAACAAGCACAACTCAGTTTTCATCAAGATAACAAAGGCAGCTCTATCCGTTCACGCCTATTCGAGCCACTATACGTTGTAGTCAGGTACCAGCATGCGTTGTGTGACAGCACATAATGGGGGGATCGACTTTTCCGCTGGGAGGGGGTCGTATTTGGGGTAAGACAAATTTATTTTGATAGTTGATTTTTTCTTGTGGAAAAAGGGGGGTCGTATTAATTTTTTGTGGTAATGCACGTAACACCGCGAGCGCGGTCCGAGCGAGGGGGGGTCCGTAATCCAACGGGGAAAAAAAAAAGGGGGGGGCGTGGCGTGGGAACAGATACCCATTTGGGGGGTCGTACTCACCACCCCCGGACATTTCGGCCTATCCCTGTATTAGCTGACCCTGTGTTGTAGTACAATGCGACTCCGGCCAGGTTTTTACTTGCGAGGGAAAAAGAAACCTTGAGTAGTTGACTGAAGGATGACACAACAACTGACGGAGCGCTCTGTCTTTTCCAGAACCGGATCTAACCCTTTACTCATGCAACACGGCTATTATCGTCATTTCCCTCTACAGACTAGTTTGTAAGTCGTCATTATGCAACAGTTTTTCGACAGTCTTACGAGTCCATTTTCTAGCCAGGGAAGTCCGCCAACTTACCATGGAACTTTGAATGGAGACCTGGGTAGATCGATAGAGTCTATAAGGTTATTTACCAATATAGATAGCAAAATTGCAACCTGCATTTCACAAGCAACTTATGAACAGGTAAAAGTGAAAGGTGCAGTAAGGGTGGGAGGCTGGTGAGTGAGTTGGAAGCATAAGCGAGAATCGCAATACGGTCGAATGAGTATGGGTTCATATTGGGAAGGTTCGGCGTTTCGACGACGTGAATTCGACGTATGCGATTACCGTCGGCTTATGCTTCACAGCGTGCACCACGCGAGCCTCCACCACTAAACTGGCACCAATTGAACAAACATTTACCTGTCATAAGTTGCTTGTGAAATGCAATTGCAGTTTTTTGCTATCTAATTTGTAAAAAACTCATAGCCTCATCGATGCTACCCGGGTCCATTTGACTTCCATGATAAGTTTGCGACTTTCCTGGCGGGGATCGGATGACTAAGCATTTCACAGAAAAGCTGAAAGGATGAAGCTTCTTCTGTGTTGCGCCACGCTTCTACTTCTGTTCGGAGTCACAAGCGGGCTCTTGAATTAAAAATGATTCACACAACGACTTCAGGGGGCAAGCCAGTAAAAGTCAGTGTTCCTATCATCCCAGACAAATACGGCACCATTTTACCGCGTTGAGGAACTGGAATACTTGTTGTAGTGACTGCGAGCCTCACAGCGCTGACACAGCGCGCGTGGTATGCATTGCCCAAACTTGCTTACAACTATCGCCTCCACCATGTTAAAAAACCAAAACTGTAACACTCATCCTGAAACGTTCCTGTGTCATGGTGTGTGAAGAGCAGGGTTGCAACTGCACAAGTGTAAGCACGTTTGTCAGCTTGAGAGGTCACGCGGTAGGCACCAGCTGGAGCTTAACCCCTGACTCGCCGCGTATCCTCAAACGCAGCAACTCGACACTGCAAAATAATCCCGCATCGAAATGCATAAGAGTAGAGAACAATAAAAGAGAGGCAGCAAGTGCGGCGTTTTCAGTATAGTTAAGCGTGGGCTTACCCTACGCATGTAGCGCATACCGCCTGCCAACGCCGTTCTCATACGCGACTAACGTGCACGGACCCATTCAATCTTAACACATGGCAAGGAACAATAACACAAGTGATGTACAGTTTTGCCTTCAAGGAGTTGACTACACTTTTCTTGCGATGCACCTGCATTCCATGAGCTACGGGGCTAGCCGGCGCACGGGTCAATGTTATAACACCCTCCGACAAGTTTTGTACCAATTACCCGACGCCACATGGGGAAAAGGCTTTGCTGGATCGGAGCCCGAGATTTGACTCTCAAACAGCTATCCTGAACGGCTGAATAGAAAATACGAGGACCGTTCAAAGTATTCTCGGTATCGCGATGATTTAGCAGTGACGAAAGAATTTAAATCATTGTTATGTCACTCCCTGGGGGTAATACAAAATTTTTATTAGTTATCATCAATGCTATTCTAGTTATCTTTGGTGAAAGAAGACCGGAATGACTGATGCGATAATGCTGAGAAAATGAGAAAATACTGATTGAAGAAATGTAGAGCTGAAGCCCGAGCAAACAAGTGTATGTGAGTTACAGGGGACTACACTGAATTATAAATTTTATTAAGAATTTTCCGCCTTTTTCTTCATACCTAGACCGAGAATACCCTGAACATCTCTCGTAGGTTGTTTGCAGGCACTGAGCCGAGTTAAGATTTCATTCAATTTCTCAATCCGGCAACAATCTCCTTTAGCAACCGATTGTAACGTAAACACCCCCCCGCCCCGCCCCATGACGAGTGGTCATATTGCAATTAGAGGGGAAGCTACAGTGTTTCTTAAGCGTCTAATTACGCTGTTTCATGAGCTTCACGGCGAAAAGGCCACAGAACATCTCACAGGCATCAGAAATCCATCGCAGTATATCCAAAGACTGATTATTCTTTTTATGCGATACTCTCCATGTGCTTAATTAATAAATATGCTCGTTCTTTACAGGGCATGTCGAACGTTGGGCAGCAGTTTTCCGGAGAAAAAGTGATAGGAAGTTGCAAGCATTTCGGAAGATATCGGTTAGATGGGGGACGCGAAGGGAGGGGGTCGTACCATTAAAGGAATTTCTGAGGGGAGGGGTCGTATTACGCAAATTTTTCCCTAAGGTAGGACGTGCTCTGATTCTATAGCATTCAAAAAAGCTGCTGATGACCGCTGGGATAGTCATATACTTCAATAATACGGTAAACGGTGATCGCATTGGTAGAGTTAGATTTTAGTCAGCGTTCTCCATTCACGATGCCCCCCCCCCATCTCTTTTCAAGATGGTATCAAACGGGGCGACATAGGAGAAGCTACAACGTTGGCCTCACTTCGTCCACAGGGGAAGCGAGAGACAGACTGATTTGTTTTGTTATGATAACTGCTGTTTAACGCCGCAGTTCGCGTTCCGAATGTTATCACAAGAATGCTGAGTTATGGGCAAAAGTCGAACCCCAGGCGGGAATCGAACCCGCACCTCAGCTCAGCTTGAGCTGAGAGGGTAAAAGCGGCCCGTGGCGTAACGGATAGCGCACTCGCCCGGAAAGCGTGAGGTGCGGGTTCGACTCCCGCCTGGGGCACGACTTTTGCCCATAACTCAGCATTCTTCTGATAGACTGTACAGGGCTTTTATAATCGCTCGCAACCGTTCTGAAGCGGCCAAGGTCTTCTAGACCGCATATCTGTGGTATACTCAGCGCAGTTATTCTGCGGTCTAGTTGGTCCATTCCACTGATTGTATCTGTTCGACTGTAGTTGGTAAAATGCAGTTGGCAAGGATGACACTAGAAAAGAGGGTAGAAAGAAGTGAAGTGTGTCGCAATTATCGGAGAACCACTCAAGAATTTGAATAATCAAAGAGTTACTGAATGGGAAAACGGGATTGCAGGTGCCGGCAGCAACCAATGAATGTATTTCGATGAAAAGTCTCTTCACTTCATGGACCATTGCACATTCTTTCACAGACAAAAAAAACAGAGTACGGTAGATTATGGCCAAAATTGCTGGGGAACTGCTGCCAACCCCGTTTCTGCATAATTTTTTTTAGAATGATGAATAAAGCAATATACGTTTTAGAACGTCAGAGGTATGACAGAACGCCCGCTGGTACTATGGAGTGAGTTCTTTACGATAGTATCGGACTAGGAAATCGCTCCGCACCGCCTGAGTATCCTTTAGCACATCCGAGCAGCCACGAGCGCGGCAAAAGAGGTGTTACAAGCGCGATAAGATGCACCAAGACTCTACTCACTCAACAATGTGGAATGTTGTAGCGCGTCAAGTCATCTAGCTAGTTTGCGCTCAATAGCATGCCTCTGATGTCGTTAAATACGTTAATGCGTGCCCCTTTTGATTGGAAATCTTCTTATCGCTTAACTTGTCAGGCGGGGCGCCAGCTCGTTCTTCCACCAATTGTAAAAGCTGGCAGACGACAATTGGCAGCGTACGGGCTGATGAAGCGCCATACCCTGCCCCTTTGACACGCCCCCACATGCGTAGCGAGCAAGCTGTACTTCTGCTTGCAGCGTGATCGAATGGGGACGTTGCTGGCGCTCATTCAAGGATCAAGGCCTGAACGGGAAGCGACCGAGCGTTTCCATTACGATTTCATTTGGTTAGAATAATGCCAGAATAACAGAAGATCCATTTAAAATATATGACGCTTTCAAAAGGGACTGGCTGTCAGAGGGACAGATTATCAAACTACTAGGAAGTGTGACAAGGAAGGCGACGACTCAGATAAGTGATGCGGGGAACATTGAGAGCCAAAAGTTTATGCAGGGGTACAAGCCAGAGAAGCTGCCAAACTGACCTGAGAAAAACTTCGAACCATCGAGCAGCAGCAAGTCATTCCTAACAGCCCTTCAAAATGCTCGGAACCCACAGAAACAAACGTTTCATTGCTGACTAATCGATATTCCCCAGATGAGACACTATGCAAACTCACTTGATGAAAATTCGGCGTGCGAAACTACTGGCGGAGCTAGCGCACTGGAGGGGAGCTGACGCATCTGGCCGCGCGCTGCAGTTTATTTCCAAAGAAAGGTTGCGCGTACGCAGATGACGGATTCGCTTGGGCGGGAGAAGCATATGCTCTCACTCAAAGGCTTGATAGCAAGGTGAAAGGATGAGAGGG